TTTCAAGACCCACGGAACCTTCTATTTCAAAGCCTCCCCGTGGAGCTGGGGGTGCGGCTGGGGAGCCCTAATAATCGCTTCCCCACACACACTCTGGAGCCTTCCACTCCGACACAGCCACGCGCCAACTGGGCACTGAAGAGCTCTCCTCAGGTGACAAGGTCCTGAGCCTGGGAACAGATCACACCACCTCAGTGCAGGTATCTTAATTACGGTCGCAAACGCTTTTTAAAACCCTTTTAACGGCCTCGGCCTCGAAGAAAATGTCCCAGCGGCACCTTCAGCCAGGAAGTGGGGGCCGGACGGCCTGCCCCTGTGTCTTACTAAAACGGCGGTGGGATTCTGTGCAAATGTCTCAGACCCTGGGAGATGCTTCCTCTTATGCAAATGCAGGTTCTCCTGCACCTGAGTGAGCAGGCTGCAGGGGCAGGAGGAGAGGGGAGAAGGGGGGCGTGGTGGGGGGCAGGGGAGGACACACCAGTGCAGTAGGCCTCAGGCCAGGTGAGCCTTCCCCCCACCCCACCTACCACCTGTGTCACTCACCTCCTGCAAAGTCCCTTCTCCTTAGGCTTCAGCTCCTTTTATCTAACTTAACCTCTTGCATTTGATGGGCGCTCGCTCCCCCTGGGAACCTCAGCATGTCTACTGTGCTTGCCCTGCAATTAGCAGAGCAGTTGCGCAGTAATATTTGCTGAATTCCATGCACAAAATGAGTCTAAAAGCTCCTGATCTTTGCACTCTGGGGTTTGGCTGAGTGTATCAGTCAGGGGGGACCGTTTATAAATTTCATGGAACAGTTGCCTTTAAGACCTGTGATTTTAACGATGAATATTCTTTGTTGCATTATTCCCTTGCTTTTATCTGTCACAGGAATATGAAACGTAAAAACACACTAGCAAAGCAAGGACTCTCCTAACACTACAGGAAACAGCATCAAATATGGCATCCTTACCCTTGTTTACAAATAGTTTATTATTGAAGGAGTCCCCTCACCAGCCCATTTGCAGACCGGCAGGCTGGCTCACTGGGCGTGAAGGGGGAGGAGGAGGCCTATGGGCTGACATTCAAAGAGCACCTTGGTTACAAAGAAAGAAGCTAATTGGCTTTATTTTTCTTTAATTATGTGATCATTTCATACTGAAAAGGCTTATCAAAATAAGAGAGAAACATCAACGATTACTTAGGAATTGTCGAAAAAAAGTACTTCCCTAATTCAAGTGACATGGAGATTTTTTTAAAAAGAATTGAAATGACTTCCCATGCATGAGCCTCTATAGATACACAGCTTTTAACCAAAAGTACTTCCCTAATTCAAGTGACATGGAGATTTTTAAAAGGATTGAAATGACTTCCCATGCACGAGCCTCTACAGATACACAGCTTTTAACTGATTTTCAAAAGAAACCCGTGAGACAGGTCACGTGTGTTCTCCTTCCTCCCAATTTCACATGCGCAAAACCAAAGAGAACTAGGACTTCGCCCAAAGCCACGCTGCTCGTGGGGAGTCAGACCCGGGCTGATGCCCCCCCCAACC